CTGACGTTTCTGAAGGAAGAAGGAAGCCAGGGAACGTTTTGTCCATTACTGTGTTTGGGGTGTCCTGGTGGGCCTTATTCAAAACAAAGCAGTTCCAATCAGGCTCTTACTGAAATCTTCAATGGAACTGCTATATGAAGTTTCAGTTCTTGACAGGATACAACTCCTGTGATTTTTTTTTTAAAAAAAGACCTGCCTGCCTATTGAATGATAACAGTGCAAATTAAAGCCCACTTTACACAAACAGTAGAATGACAAAAGTAATGGGGGTGGAAATGATTCAGAGCCTTCGCGAAGCAACATGAATTAGTTGGTGTTTAATTCCCCAAAATTTTTATCCAGTACCTTTTAAAAAGCACATCATTTTAATGCATTAATGCGGCATTCCTGTCTGCTTCATTCTGACTTCACTTGTGGTGAGAACAAGAACTAGCTAACATTTGAAGAAGAGAAATCATCTGCTAATATTTAATGAATTGTGTCCAGAAAATGGTTGTTTTTTAAATTCCAGACACTCATGAACAAGTTGAAGCTTTAAAAGTCATTGCAGGCTTTAATATCTGTATGGGGATTGCCCATGGCTCCTACCTTTGACATGAGAAAGCCATGCTGCTGCCGAAACAAGGTTCTAATAGTTTCTGTGTCTTCTGTAACACTCATTCTTCTTCGCTGCTCTCAAGATGCACTGGGGTTATTGAACAGCGGAGTCCGTATTTTGCTAGAGACAATGCCCTCCCTTTGATAGTATCAGAAGGAGCACTTTGAGCCCTAGGGTGTATTTATTTGATGTTTGGTTGCCTTGTGAATACCTAGTTCTTAAAATAAATTTTTAACTGGTGTCCAATTCAGTGAATCTGACTTGCAAACAAGTCCCACCGCTGTTCAAATAATTCTCTTCTAAAACTCATAGGTGATGCAAAAAAGGACAAAGACAAAAGCAACTTCATATTTTCAGGAAAATTTGCAATAGAGATCTTGAACTACAGAGGAAGGGTAAGGCAGAGAAGGTGAGCATTCCTTTTTTGGACTGTGTTGTTGTTAAGTGCCACCAGCTTGATATGGGAGGATACTGAAACTGTATTTTAATACAATTGTTAGAATCATATGTGCTGACAACACTTGGAAACTTCATGGAAATTTCTCTGTGTAACTGCAAAACATAAACACTGCTCTGTATCTATGCTCTGTATCTATACCGCAAAAGATGTACCTTATCTCAAATGTACTTTATACTTGTACTGTATACTTGTATTTTTACTACACTTTGTATTGCTGCAATGTTCTTAAGGTATGCCTTCCCAAGATGGTCACGTAGCCCACATTTACAAAAACCCCTCTGCCCTGGGATAACAAAGACCATTCAGGCCTACAGAGATGGCCATACCTGATAGAGTCTTTATGGCCTATCCGTGGGCCATCTAAATAAACCATGAGACCTTTTATCCTCCACCTGGAGTGGTGTCAGGGCACACTTCCCTGCATGTATGTTTTGCATGAGTTGTTTGTTTGTCTGTTATATAATTTTTTAAGAATTTTGCAACCTGTGACCCCTTGACGCTATGCCACTGTATGCAGGTTATAAAACAGAGGTGAGCAAAGAGAGGTGGGATGTGGTTTTGAAAGCAGTTTTTGCAGCTTCCACCCCCAACTGCCTTTGAGCTGTGACTCGCCTTCTGGAGAGGTCACACACCCCTTTGGCATTGTTTAACAAACTAAAACTGGAAGTGAACTCTCAGTCACTATAGGTTTCAATTTTTTGCCTCCATTTTGGGTTAGCATTTGTTGGCAGTTTGTGCACCCCATGGAGGAACTCCATGGCAGAAAATTGTCCCTTGGGAATGACCCAAGATGGCCCCACCCTCCCCGGCCAGAAGAGAAAAGATGTATGCTGAGCAGAAGAACATGCTTTCAGTTCTGCTTCTCTTGTGCCACCTTCCACAGGCAGGCAGTCTGGTTCCTTCCTTCCCTCCAAAAAATCTCAATTCACAGTTTATATTTCATAGTGGAGAAATTCCTCATTTATCAGTCTATCAAGTTGTTTCAATGGCAGGTGTTCCTTTTCTCACTTAGATTCATTTATGTCCTTGGGTGTGGCATTTGAACATACCAATACTTTTTCTCCAGATTTCACAAATGTTCCCTTTCTTGGCTGTCCTATTTTGGGCACATCACAAGAGTCTCTGGAAAAGACAAAAATGCTGGGAAAGGCAGAAAACAGCAGGAAAGAGGAAGATTAAATACAAGATATATTATACCCGAAAAGAAGCCATAGGTTTAAGTTTACAAGAGTTGAGTTGAAGACAAGACATTTTGGAGATTGCTCATTTATGGGGTCTCCTTAGGTATGCAGGTTATAAAACGGGTGTTCATTTGAAACTCCTGTATATAGTTCTTAAAAGAATCTTGCATTATTAATTTTGATGGAACTGTACATTGACTAAAGACTGTCATTTCTGTTTCTTGGGTATACAGTAGCTTTATTGTAGAATAACACTTTCCACTGAAAAATAAAACAATTCAGCTTTTAGAAAGTTCAGATATTTTGATACTGCTTCTTATAATCCAGCAGGCCCGTCTCTGCTTCAGTCTTCTCTCCAATTCACACCACATCCACCAAATCCATTCCCACCCCCTTCCTGTACTCCAAATTCAGTCAGGAGGCATAAAACAGTAAAAGCAGCAGTCGGTCCATCTTCATGCTTAATGAGTCAGTCCAGGCTGATTTCAAAGAGAGATTGAGTAACAACTAATTTGTCTCTTAATTACCCCCAATTTAGGTGGCTTTTTTCCTCTTTATTGCTCCTCTACTGCTTTTGTTTATTTCTTCTCTATTTTTACGTCAGCAGCTTGAGTTTGATCTGTGCTTGCTCATGCTAAACAAAAGGCCAGTTACAGTGCGGAAAGGAAACTCTTCCGAAAAAAGATTGCAGGTCTGAATCTCGGAGGCTTCCAAGCCGTACTTTGCTGCAAGTCCACTCTCCTGTAGATCTTGCCCCCCTTCCACTGCTGTGGGGTCTGCTGACCCGGAGTTTACACAGGGGTCCCCAGAGCCCTGGGAATTCCCTCTGCCCTTGCTGCTGGTGTTTTTAAATACAGTGGTGCCTCGCTTAACGATTGCTTCGTACAACGAAAAATTCACTTAACGATGGCTTTTTCGGAGTGATCTTGTGCTTCACTTAACGATTTTCCCTATGAGTGATTTTCGCTTAATGATTTCGGGACCATGCTTCACTTAACGATGACAGTTTAAGGTCCCCTTGTTTCGCTTAACGTTTTTTTTACAGCCCCGTTTTTGCTATTTTTAAAATATTCTAAAATGTTTAAAAATGTTTAAAATGCTTGGAATCATTAGTGCACCTAATAAAACCTTCGTTAACTTAATTTGGCTTTATTCTGAGTCTTTTTGAATTTTTTGTGAATTTTTTTCCCCCATTGAAATAGGCTTCAATGCATTTCAATGGGTTTCGCTTAACGTTTTTTCCTATGGGGATTTTCGCTTAAGGATGGTAATCCATTCCACTTGGAACGGATTATCCGGTTTTCAATGCATCTCTATGGGAAATGGTGTTTCGCTTAACAATGTTTTCACATAGCGATGTTTTTTTTTTAACCAATTAAAATCGTTAAGCGAGGCACCACTGTACTACTAATAATTTTTGGAATAGCATGCTTTACCCTTCACACAGAAAATCTCCCTCCCTTCCCTCAACTGGTTCTAGATAAAGTGGACTGGCAGGCTTGCTTGCTCCCAGTCTTGTTGATGTCCAGAGATGTGGTCTGTTTTTGTCCACCTGCTTCTTTCACTTCTCCTCCTCCTCAGCCATGGAGCCTGTGAGTATGATTCAGGAGGAATACATTTCTCTTAAGACCACAGCTGTGATACAAGGATATCTTCAAGCAGGATCTGAAGGCCGTAGGAATGGACTGCAGCAGATGGGAAACCTTGGCATCTGAGCATTGCAGCCTGGAGGCAGGCGGTGCATCAACCTCTCTCAATTTGAAGAGACCCTTGTCCAGCAGGCCAAGGCAAAAGGCAGTCCCAAAAGCAGCAAAATCACTGGACAGGGCACAGATTGTATTTGTCTTCAGTGTAGACGGGATTTTCACTCTCGAATTGGCCTTCTCAACCACACTAGATGCTGTTCCAAGCCCTCCATAAAGAGCATGTTACCATAGTCTCTCGAGACTGAAGGATGTCTAACATTTCTCTTTCAACCGTGTTAAATATAGTAATTCATAAAAATTATGGTCCGTAATTTTATATACTCTTGGGAAAGGTAGAGGCATAATCAAAGGTGGCTCCAGAGGGGGCCCCGAGGGAAGGCAAGATATGAGAGAGTTAATGCACCTTGTTTTTGGAAAAAAATAAAAAATAAATAAACACTGCTGTTGAAGAAGCTGGAAGGGGGAAGAAGACAGAAGTAGAAGGTCTGGGGAAGCAGGAGAGAGTTGACAGAGCCCAGCCTGCTGAAAAGGTGTGAAGACTTTGTTTGGAGGACTCCAGATGATAAAGGAGAGGCTCAGCCAAAAAAAGGACGAACATGAGCCTGGAGGCAAAGAGAAGAAGCTACTACCACCGGTTCTAGAAGGATAAGAGGTCAGTCTGTGTTGCCCCTTTGGGTCATTATTGATAGCCACCTTGTTGCATCTGAAGAAGTGGGTATTGCTCTGCCTATGAAAGCTTGTGCGGGAGCCTGGAAAATAGTTATTAGTCTTTAAGGAGCTACCAAGGCTATTTTGTAGGAGTCATGCTTGGGCTATAGGGTCTTTTCCAAGCCTTTCCTCTCCAACCATGTTCTGCAGACCTCACTTTGGAAAGAAGGAGGTATTAATCCATCTCTCCCTTGGCCTTCTTTCTTTTTTCTCAGGGCATTAGGCCAGGAAAGGAGGGGGGAAATTAACTTCCACTTTCCCTACAGCCACCATTGGGTGTAATTAATACTTTCATTATAGCATGTCTATATCAGTGTGATTTAACCACTACTTCTACTGCTACAAAATTCTTAATATCTACTATTTTTTGTCTTGCTGTCTTTCCCCTGCTCTCTACAGAATATAAAAAGTATAAATTATGAATTATCTCTCCTAAATGTATTCTCACAGATCTGGAGCCCAGAAAAGACAAGACAAGAAAGAAGAGGAAAATGAAAAAAAGTAACTAAGAAGACACCAAGACACAAAAGCAAATAATTAAAAGCAACCCATGTAACACAATGTTTAACAAGCATGAGCTCAGTGTAGATATATAGAAAAATTAATAAAATGTTAATTTTTTAAAAAAATGAAAAAAGGGATCAACAAACACTCTTTCAGTTTGGATTAAGTGCAACCTCAACATTTTTTTCATTGAACTCACCTATAGAATCGGAGCAAGAAGAAACTATTGGACACCTAATCCCCAAGCAAGGAGCAGTTTATTTGGGTAATCACGCACAGTGTTTTGATGAAGGGGCAGCTGCAGATGCAGAAAATGGGACAGGAGTTGACATTGTCTTAGAAGATTCAATCAATTCTGAAAATGTGAAATGGTACAACCTTTTAAAATGCATCATCAATGTTGTACTCTTCTTGGGAGACCATGATATAGCATTTACTGGTTCATCCCATTGAATTGGTGATTCAAACAATGCAAACTTTTTAGGACTCATTGAACTGCTGTCCAGGTGGGACCCCATCCTTCAGGGATATGTGTTAAGGAGTCACAGGAAAGGAGTGAGATGCTTCAGGTTCATTATCTGTCCCCTGGCTCACAAAATGAATTTATTGTTCAATGTTCTAATTTTGTAAACAACGCATTTTGCTTGAGAGGCAGTCTGCAACTTACTTTGCAGTCATAATAGATTCCACACCAGATTTTTTCCCATAATGAACAAACAACATTTGTTTTGAGCTATGTACTTTTAAAAGAAATGCATTCTGAGATTCCAGAAAGATTTCTCAGATTTGCAGATTGTAGCAACAAAAGAGGGGAAGAAATTGCTCAATGGATAACTGCTAGATCGAAAGAACATACTATTCCTCTCAGTGATTGTAGAGCACAAGCTTATGATAATGGGGCAAATATGGCCAAAAAATACAAAGGTGCACAAACAAATGAATAATGCAGAACAGAAATTTTTTCACCTCAAGGTTGTCACACACTCGACTTCTGTGGAATTTATGCTGCTGAATGCATATCTGAAGCAATAACCTTTTTCTGAACAGTTCAAACAGTGTACCACCTGTTCCGTTCCAGTCCTAAGTGATGGGAATTACTCCAAAATTGTATTGGTTGTTGTCCTTATGGTATGTCTGAAACAGGATGGTCAGATCGTGTTGAATGTATAAAGCCTTTTGTGACTCCCTTGCCTGCCATTAAATTAGCACTGGAAGACCTACTAGAACTAGATTTGATGACCAAAACAAGAAATGAAGACCATGGAGATTTATTATAGATGGCATTGTTTGCCTATTTGTTAATGTCAGCCATGTGGTACAAAATATTAGCCAGTTTGTTTGTTTGTTTGCTGGATTTATACCCCGCACCATCTAGCAACCAGGCCACTCTGGGCAGCTAACAACAATATAAACAGCAATATTAAAACACGATAAAAAATAAAATAATACAACAAGATAAATTAAAACAGATGGCAATGGAGGTGGTAAAAGGGTGATGAAAAAGATGGCAAAAAGGATGGTAAAAGGTTGATAGTTGCAACAAGGTCATCCAAACTAGCGATGTCACACTGGATGTTGACATGGCAAACATAGAAACTCTCATCACAGAGCTGACAAAACTCTGAAACAACTGAAGATGCATGTGGAATGAAGCCAAATTGGTTATGTCAACCCTAAATATAGAAAGAAAACTCTTTCGTAGATGTGATGGAGTTAGGTGGAAGAGGGTAAGGGCACATGACTTGGAAGAAATGAATGACGGAGATGGTACTCCAGAAAAGGGCTGCTTCAGGGAGTGTATGTTTTACATTTTGGTAGACAATGCTATAGCAGGATAACCTCTCCACTTCAATGCTCCTAGGCAACTGGCAGAAAAATTTAGTTTCTGGTGGAAGTATCCCCCCATCTCTGAAAGGGAAAGAGAGAAACACTTTATCAGAGCAATATCCGTCTGACCTTAATTTTGATAATTTGGAGGCGGGAAATGCAACATTTTCGCTAGAGTACAGACTTGGTGTCACACACCCCAATACCCTTGTTTGTTTTTTCTAGGTACTACTTCTGCTAACTGCAATTTACCTCCTTCTAAAATTTTCATTTCCGTAAGTTCAGGATAGTATGGTCTTTACTGAATCTCAGTTAAGTTTTTCTCTTTTCCAGTATTCAATTTTATTCTTAACTCTGACACTATTAAATACTTGTCTTTAGGTATTAGATCTTTGTACATACAGAGTTTTTCAGGACTTTCAGGAACCCTCAGGATATTATTTTCAAACTCTTTTAAACCATTCTCCAAGTTATTATTCTCCTTTAGCTCCTGGGCAAAACTCCTTTCATTGGGCTTTTTCATAACCTTACAACCTTCTTCAACCGATTTTTTACTTTGACTTTCCCAATTTTCTTCTATTGTTGTATTTGGTGTTTCCTGACCTCCTTTTGAGCTTGTATATACAAAACCACCCTTAACCTGTTTCATCTCATTCCAATCCCCTTTATCAACTACAGACATCTCTCTGTGTTCCTGTGTCAGTGGATTGAAACTCATTAGATTTTTCAATATATTCTTAGCGAATATCATTTAATCTTCTTTTCTCACTATTGGAATTTTCACTAGAGTTTTTCACTAAGTTTTTCGTAGCTATTCCTGCTGCTTCAGGTCTCACTTTTAACTCAGGATCTCCCTGTCTTTGGTGAATGTCACAGCTTTGACCATATGATTTTATTTGTTTCTCCATCTTTGGCCAGTAAGAACTTTGCACTATCCTCTGCTCTGTGCACTTGACCCCATAATGACCTTCAAATGAGTCTAAATATCCTATTTCTATTATTTGCTCTCTATATTTAAAAGGTATAACCAGTTGTTTATGGATACTTTTCCCTCTCCTTTTAGGGTTTATCATAACCTCTCGATATAATAAGTCTCTGTCCACTACAAATTTTTCAGGTAATTCAGGGGTTACTGGTTCTTCTTTGACTGCATTAAAAGATTGCTGTAAAGTAAAATCATTTCTTGTTCTTGTTTAAAACTTTTTTTCTGAGACTTTATTACAGCTACACCTTCTGCAAGTTCAGGTGATTGACTACACTTAAATCTTCATCAGGAACCTCCCTATTACAATCAGAATTTTCTATTTTTTTCTGTCTGTGAGTGTGTTGTGATTAAAACACTTTTGACATGCTCTGTTAAGTCTAGCCCAAACAAACATGGAGTATGAATCTGATTTGTAATGGCTACTTTAAATATACCAATCCACTCTTTATACTTTATATGCACTTTAGCCATGGGTAGCTTCTTTAGTGCACTTTAGCCATGGGTAGCTTAATTACTTCTTTAGTACAGTGGCGCCTCGCTTAACGAGCGCCCCGTTTAACGAAGAATCCACATTGCGATCTTTTTAATGGCAAAAAATCGCTTTGCGATCATCAGTAAGCTGTTTCGCTTACTGATTTTCGCATAGCGATGTTTTAAAAACAGCTGATCAGTGGTTCCAAAATGGCCACCGGAAAAAATGGCCGCCAGCAGTGTTTTTGCGCCTATTCCTTGCATACCGGGCAGCGAAAATGGCGGCCGTATGGAGGATTCTTGCATAATGGTGAGTTTTAAGCCCATAGGAACGCATTAAACGGGGTTTAATGCATTCCTATGGGCTTTTCAGTTCCGCATAGTGACGAATCCGGATAGCGACGATTTTTCCAGAATGGATTATTGTCACTATGCGGGGCACCACTGTAATTCCTTTGACTATAATTTTCTCATTTGGAATGATATCTTCCTGTAGAATAATATCTGTATGGCATATAGTTATCTGAGAACAAGAGTCTCTTAATACTAAATATTTGGTATTATTAATGTAAATATTTTCACCAGAACATCTCATCAACTCCATGTTGTTTTCTATAAAGTAACATTGAACAATCTCTGCCATAGGTGGCAGTTGCTCCTTACTCTCTGTTTTGTCAGTTAAACTGTCATTTTGCCTTGTCTGTTGTTGCACATAGTAGATTTTCTTTGGCTCAATTCCCCCTGCTTTCTGTTGACTAATTTCTTTATTATTAGATTTTAAACATTGTGAAATAAAATGCCCCTTTCCTCCATATCCAAAGCACTCTTTCTCCTCTCTTTAATCAAGACCTAGGGATTTTTCTCCCTTCCCTTCAAAACTTTTACTGTATTCTTCTGTTGGTACTGCTCTGAGGGTCTATCCCTAAAATGGCTTCCAGTTGCCTGTTGTGAATTTCGTTGTGTGGGTATACTGTGTATATACTTACAATGACAATAAATTATTATTGTTGTTGTTCTTGTGGAAATTTCTGGCCTCTTTCCTTCTGTTTTCCCAGTTTCTATTATCAAATTTTACCTCATAATAATTTGAGTTTCTTAATTCTTTTATATAATCAGCTGGCCCTCTTGGTCTGAAATTTCCCCTTCCTGAGGTAATGTTTGATTCTCTGCTAGCTCCATTGACTCTCTGCTAGCTCCATAACTAACCTTTTCCCTCTCTTAGAAGGCATGTTTAACCATTTATATTTTTGTTAAGTTGGCAGGTTGCTTTCTCACAGATTCAAATAGACAAGCCTCGTTTTAAAAGGGACCTATTTTTTTCTTTTCTTCTAAGAGATTGATACTTTGTAGTTTCCCCCTACAGCCACATGTTGCTATTTTGTTACTTTAGGCACCTAGTCTTGCTGTTCCCTGTGTCTCAGACACTGTTTCTTTTAGCCTCCAACCACCCAGCTATTTCAGAAATATTTCTCTTCTGTAAGCCTGTTATATTCACCTCAGCTATTCCTTTAGACCATGGCTTCCACTTTTGGTCCCCTCAGCACTCCCTTTCTCAGAGCTTTGTGATCTAAAGCTAGCCTTCTTGGTCCTTACACTCTCAGCTTGAGGTAAACTTTTAACTACAGAAATCTCCTCAGAGTCTTTTCCTGCCTTTGTCTTTCCACAATCAGGAGTCCCTAACAAGCTATTCACACAGAGCTGTAGGGTTTCCTACTCCTTCCTTGGACTATTGACAATCAGGTCTCTTAGACTCAGAGGATTTCTTTTCCTTTTGGCTTACTGGCATTCATTCACTTTGAATCCCAGAACCAAAAAAATTCTTCTTTATTTTGGCTTACTGGATTTCTTTCACATCGAATCCCACCACTGCTCACCACTTTATGTCACACACACCCAGTTCCCTTGTTTATTTTCTACACACCCAGGTTCCCTTTTGGGCATGACATGTACTTTTCACCCTTTTTTGCTGCCACCAGAGGATCTGTCCCTCTCTATACCAAATATGACTATTAGATCAGTGTTGTCCAATATAACAATGTTTATTTATGTGTTTGTATGTAAATCCTCTACAGAAAATCATGGATGGTCTTTTATTCTTCATTCAATAAATGTGGCTTTGATTACATTTAAGTTTGCTTATGTAGATTCACTTTAATCAAGGTATTTAAGTGCATTTAATATTCAACTATTTATTTATTTCTTAACACGTTTAACTGTGTCCAATCTTAACCACATAAAAGAATAAGAATTATTCTATTCTTATCTCTTTCTCTATCTCTCTATTACTCTTCTCTCTAACACAACCATGGCCCTAAGTGCCTAAACTGTCTCCTCACTAGTTCTGACTGATTATAACTGTCTTTCTGTCCTTTTATTATCCTGATTCCACCCTCCTGTACTGTCATTGGTTCTCACATCAGTGTTCTACTGTGATGGACAGGCTAGGTATTTGGACTGTCCGTCACACTTGGTTACCTGTTTCCAAATGTGTATGTTAGCTTAAGAATATTAACAATTCCAGCAACAGGAGCTTCTGGAGTGTGGTCATTTAGCAAACATAAGCTAATTAAGACTTATTTAAGGTCTACCATGTCTCAGGAACATCTTGTGGATTTATCCAGCCTAAGAATTGAATCAAACATCACCAAAACACTTAATTTGCATGCTGTGATTCAATTTTTTTTCACAAAACAAGGCCAGGAAATAATAAGTTTGTCTATACTTTTTTTACTAATACTTATGTCTTCTGATAATCTGATCTGCATTGCAATAAAGAACTATGTTTCAGCATGAATTATTTTACTTTATCTGTATTGTAACATTAAAAAGATGCTCAAATCAAATGTGCTTTCTCATCTCTGATCCTCTTTTATTTTATTTATATTCAGATTTATCATGGAGGGATAAATTCTGAGGGAGTATAAGATCATTAGGCCTTAAATGCAGAAAATAGAGAAGGGAGTGGCCCCAAAAGAAACTTCATAATCCCTGATAAAATTCCTCTCAGAGGCCCTGAACACAAATAAAAAAATTACTGCAGGTTATCTGAAACCTGTCATTCTTGTTTGTATGGGGTAGAGAGGCTTGCACAAGCCAGCCTTGTAGACATTCAGAGTTCAGAATCATGTGGGGAGACTTCGTGTATACAGGAATGTCTCAGTATCAGATTTGTCCCCTTCAGATAAGGAAAACAGTCATTGTGCAATGGGTGGGGGAAGCACCCTGCCCCTCGTATATTTAATTTACTTCTATATACAGTGGTGCCTCGCTTAGCGAGCGCACCGTATAACGACGAATCCGTATAGCGATCCCCTTTTTTGGGATCGCTATACGGAGCACCCAATCGCCGCACCTCGCTTTGCGACGATTGGGGCGTCCGGCGGCCATTTTGGAGCCGCCACATCGCTAGAACCAGTTGTATTGGCTGTTGCCTTTCCATTGGACCATTTCAGTGATGTGGAGAGGGGGGATTTGCTGCTTGGGTAACAGCCTATCCTCCATTATTATTTTACCCTGGCTTCGTGTTCTGGAGAGGACACTCCAGCTTTGGACACAGCATCAAAGTTGTCCATACAGCGCACGCTACCATAGTCTCTCAAGACTGAAGGATGCCTAAGATGTTGTGCAATGGGTGAGGACAGCACCCTCCCCCTCATATGTTTAGTTTACTTCTATATACAATGCCTAAAGGCACCATCAAGCCATCTGGAATAAAGCAAAACCACTTTGAGGGAGAACGCTAGAGCACCAAAAATGATATCATGACATTTTTCCTCTTTAGAAATAAACTAATATCTAGAAAAATGCATTTGGTTATGGACACAGGTTTTATTATTTTAGCTTATTTTACGCACTGAACAAGAATGAAGCAGGGACACTACTGTTTTCTTCCTAGAACGATGCTGTAGCGGCTTCCTTTCTTGTGCTGAACTTCCTTGAAGCCAGCGGAAGTGAAGAGCGCCTTGTATTCAGATGGGGTCCGGTCTTTTCCCTCCGTGAGAACCAGCATCAGCATGGAGTGTAGGTGGGCTTCAAAAGGTCCACATCTGTCCTCATTGAGAAGTATTTCAATGACTAGCACTCCACCACCTGTTTCAAAATATACATTTCACTGATTTAATCCACAGCAAACAGCATTACATATTTCTACAGTATTTTGAAGAGTGCAACTTGATTGTTCCAAAAAAGTGGGGATTAGATGACCAAATAAAAGGGAGTGTAGTTTAACCCAGTTGACACTGACATAAAATGAGGATCCCCCATGCTGGTAAAATGGTATAGATTGATAATTATGGATCAGATCTCCCACTATTTCGTTGCTTGTAGATATTCACTCCTCTGCCTTTACTTGCTTTTTATGTCATTGGAGATGTGCTGCCTGTGAACCAGAATAGAACTACACAATTTACACAACTAGGGCTGCTCTAATTCCCACACTCGAGAATTTTGAGCATACAAGCACATAATACACCCTGAACTTTACACTAGCATTTGACAGACAGACTGACCGATATCTTTATTTTTCTACCATTCAAAGAGCTAGCCCTTTACTTACGGAAGGAAAGAGAGAGAGGAATTACGTTGCTGAACATGAACATCTGGCAACGCTACTGAATATTTACAAATTTTTATTACAGTTGAGTGACCAGCTCAACTTTAATGAATATGATGTTCCATGGGAGAAAAGTACACTGATTTTTTTAAAAAAAAAATTGAATGGGACAAAATCAATACAGGAACACCCTTCATACTCTTGTTTGCATACAGACACAATCTTAATATAGATGAAAGCTACAACGTCCCATTCTTGTATGCACTGCTTTTGATTTCTGCTTCATTCGGAACATGGCTCAGATATGAGCAACTGTTGAAAGAATTTTGAGTGGTACTGAGTAATCACAGGAAGTCCATACTCGTCAAACATTGGGAGAAACATGATATGTGAGGAATGTGCTGTCTGAAGAAGAACTTTTTCTACTAGAGACAGTCAGCAGCCGCGTTCAGGAGGCGGGAGAGGGTAGCGTGCTTCGCCCAGGGAATGGCCAAATGCAGAGGAGGCGGGAGAGGACAGCACATGGGACCAGCAATTGTGTGGGCACTGCACCAGGGTGGGCTGAACTGTGGTTTGTGTCCATCTATAATTCCTACTCATGAATAAACTCTCCATGCAAATAAGACCCCCAGTTTTTAAGCTTTCCTGCTTGCCAGTACAGCATAGATGTAAGCAAAACCCTTCCTCTTCAGACACATTTCATTCCAGATAGAATATGCCACGAGGGAGAAGGGAAGGCATAGGAACTCCTCTGTAAATGTGTTGCCAAGAACCAGGCAAGTAAGGCCTGAATAGGGCTTTGGACTACCTATGTTCTCAAATACCGTGTCTGAAAAGACTTTTCCCCTGGATTTCTTCCATGTTTGACTTCTATTATACCTCTGTTCACCTTACAGACTTCAGAAAGACATTAGAAAAACCAAGGAGGCCTTCAAGAGTCCCGTGCATGATTATCATAGAAGTTCGTGCGTTGCGTGGAAAGTCCCCAAGTTCAATACCGGATCCCTCCAGGAAAGCTCAGGAAAGACTCAGATCTGAAACCCTGCCAGTTACAATGGATGAAATGGTCTCAGAAGGACCTTAATGATTATTATTGTGCTGAGTCGAGATACCTGAGGCTACTGTGAGCTAATGGAAAAGCAGTTCACAGAGGCATCAAGGCAAAGCACAACGCTTTCAAGGCTATTTTGGTGCGGTGGAAATAGACATACCAGGCCTGCAGGCTTGGTGCAGTTTGGTTAGCAGCTGCACACACTTTTCATCCTCCCAGTAATGCAGAATCCGAGCCAAAATGTACAGGTCAGCTTCAGGAACCGGGTCTTTAAAAAAGTCCCCTGTAATGAAACAGGCACAGCACAGTTGAGTTAAGCACTTTGTTTTAGGGCCAGCCATGCTCCTAATAACAGGGGTGGACACTTAACATGATTTATCCATTTTCCCACTACGTAGGGACATGCCTTAGCAATCAGGCTTGCAGATTAAGCCTAGGTTTGCCTTCCAATAACAAACAAACAAACAAACCAAACCATACTAAATGCAAAGTAGGAGAGAGGAATCACATTCTGCAAAATGTTGTGCTGAACATGTGGTCTATATTGCCCCTTCAAAGAAGAAGAATCTGGTCTACTTTTTAGAAATCATACATCACAATGAGGTAGGTATTGTTGCCTGCTGTCCGTCCAGCTAAGGCAAACATTACCTACAATTTAAATTTAGATAGGATCTCAGAAGAAATCGTATTTTACCTTCCTGGAATGTAATCCGCCTTTTGTCTGAGGACATAGGTTGCTTCTTTGCTCTTTCCACTACTTTAGGAAGGTCAAAAACGGTCACCATACAATTTGGATATAAGGAGACACATTCCTTAGCCAAGGCGCCACTACCCCCTTAAAGAAAGAACAGAATGTAAACATTTTACAAAATTGTTACAATGTTGTGCATTTCAAGCTTTTTTCAAAACACCCTTTTGTAAAACTTCAGGGTAGAAAACCGAATCAATGGCTATCTAGCTGTTTCACAAACATTACAGAGCAAAAAGAGACATAACCTGCTTCATTGGTTTTGAGAGATTCATAGAGTATTTGACAGTAAAGTAGTACCACAAATACACAGGGAGCAGAAAAACAAGGCTGAACGAGAGCAATAAAAAGAGGAACCTGGTGGAACAATAATTTCGGAGGAGAGGGAACATATTATAGACTGGAGGCATGGAAGATTATGCTAGGTAGGAAAAGGATTACAATTTCATTACCTGAATATCCAGGGTAGTGCAATTTATTAAAGGGCTAGACTAACCACCATATCCACACAGGTAATATACAACAATACATCAATTAATGTGTATTTCTCTGGATCATTCTCCTGCCTGTCTGCACTTTCTCTGCTGTGCAAAAGTTCCTTCTCAATCTTTCTTTCCAGGATTATCTAACCTAGCAATTTTTTGCCCTTCGTATCCTGCTAACCTTATTCCTTATTAACATTCCAGATCACAGGGTACTCTGACTTTTTCCTGCCAAAGCACATAATAGCTAGGGAACTGATGTGCTTTTACAATGACATATCTCGGCCCATGTGGGAACACAGCTTCCTCGTCAGGAGATCAGCACAACGGGCCTTAATCTGAATTCATCTGTGCCCAATTTGATGTCCATTGTGGGTAAATAGCCAATGTAGTCAAACCCCACCCTACCCCAATTAACTGCAAAATCACCTGAACTGGTCAGGGGCATTCACCTGGTTATCCTACAAATTCCACAGTGGTCTGTTCACTATAGGTCTTGAATGTGCTCTTCACCCAAGGGTATCCAGGCTGGCTCTTCTGGGAGACACAAGGGGGAATCCAACCCCCAATAGTGCCTCTGGTACACAACTCACCATGTATTCCAGCCAGCTCATTTATTAAGAGTGATCAATAATTTCCTGAACAAAAGAGATAGCTGCTGATAATATTTAATAAAGGGAAACTCCTGAGCAATGCTTGGACAACTCAGTCTCGGTTTTTAATGCAATGCAGATTTTACAACAAAAGATTCACAAGGAAGTAGGGTAAAAGGGGAGGGTGGTCATCATACAAACACCCCCCCAACTTACACAATAATATGATTTCAAGTTATCCGCAATGGAAGACAGCTGAGAATTTATGCTACTTACCTCCCAGATCATAAATGAGTGGGAATTGAGAAAGATTAAATGCAGACATCACTTCTCTACCATACAAATTCCAGGCATCATTCATGGCATCAGAGAATCTTTGCAACTCTTCCTCTGATCTAAGAATTGAAAAGAACAAGGCAGATAACATTCCTACAATCTGATGTACAGCTAATTCCTGCAACCTGCGGACTATATATAGAGTCTCAGTACAGGGATGAAAAAGAATAGCACTGGATAAAATAGTTTGAAGAATCCACATAGAAACATGCTGTAATCAATGGAGAAAATGTATACATTACCTAATGTGTAAATAAGTTCTCGGTTTAGGAAAAATGCACCAAAATGTATATGAATTTTGATATGGGAAGAAAAAACTATCAAAATTCAATATAAACAAGGATGAGGAAAATGAAATGAAATCAGGACTGGGACATTTTCAGCCATCAAGTCTGTGTTTAAGGTCCACTTACCAATCACAAAACAAAGCACACTACATGCAAAGCAGGGAAACAAGGACAGAAACGTGCTATGAGAAACGAATTTCTTTCACCTCTTCTGAAAAAATGGTAAACCTGTGTCTGATCTGGAGTTTGGAAAGAGGTGTCTTGGTAAGTGTTATTCAACCACCTTATGGGCAAGGGTGGGGCACGAGCCATATATGTAAAATTATACGAAAATGGATCTCTCTGTTGAAGCAAGTGACAATATTTGTGTAGATCTTTGAGCATGTGCAGATTTCTGAGTTATAGGGCATAGAATAGCTTAATTGTGATGTGATTCCACATTTAGACCATTCTCTCAAAAACAATATAAAAATTGCTCTTTTTACCTGTACAAAGCCGCAAAACAACTGTTTGGTAACATGCCATGTGTTTTCTTAAATAGTCCTTTTCCTTCCCTGAAAGAGATGATTTGCATTAATAAAAGGAAAAATAGACAGCCTATATATCAAATACAATATCACACACTTCTCCCACCTCCAACAGCACTTTTTAGAACCACCAACTGAAGTTTAATACAACAGTTTTGAAATCAGATATCATAATGCACAGTGGTATTTAAATGTATGAAAGATTCCCCCTAACCCTAACCCCATCCTTTCAGTTGACCATGCAAAGCCCATTCAGAATAACATACTGCAGAGTTGCAGAAATATCGGTTGCCCTGCTTTCCAACTCCTTAGGTAGGGTGGATGAAACAGAATTGAAATTTTTTGTTTGGAACACATAAGTTTTGCGATGTGTCTATCGTGCTGTATTCCGTTCATATCAATGGGTATACCATAGCAACGGCAGGAGTAGAAGGTTAAGATCCATCTCACCTGAGAAGTCATGTTTAAAAACCCTTTACCCTTAAGAGGGACTCATTTAACGGTATTGGGAGGTTGCCCTTAACGTCTGAGTCAACAAATTGCACAAAAATAATTTTAGATAAGCAGCAAATGTTGTAAGAAAAGTAGTAGTATTTGTGTTCTGGAGCAACTAACGTGTTATAACACTTACACTTTAAGATAAAGGTAAAGGTAAAGGTTGGCCTTGACAATTTTTGTCCAGTCGTGTCCGACTCTAGGGGGCGGCGCTCATCCCACTCTTCAAGCCATAGAGCCAGCGTTTTGTCCGAAGACAATCTTTCCGTGGTCACATGGCCAGTGTGATTTAGACACGGAACGCTGTTTACCTTCCCACCGAGGTGGTCCCTATTTATCTACTCGCATTTGCATGCTTTCGAACCGCTAGGTTGGCGGGAGCTGGGACAGGCGACGGGTGCTCATTCCGTTGCGTGGATTCGATCTTACGACTGCCGGATCTTCTGACCCTGCAGCACAGGCGTCTGCAGTTTAGCCCACAGCGCCACCACGTCCCTTACCTTTAAGTTGTACTTAATTTGCATATAATATAAATATCCAGAAAATTAATTTATCAAAATTAAAAAAAATACATTTAAGAAAAAGCCCTGAATGATAAAATGGCAGCCACCAGAAAGATTTCCATGAAAAGCAGTGTCCTGAATAATCCATACCTGCAGACATTATGCCGTTCTGTTAGTGGCTCATTTTATATTATTTTTCTTGATCCAAGAAAAGAAACTAAAAACCACCAGGAAATGGAGCCAAGCAGTGCTTTGGTGATTTTGATGCACTGTAGATGCCTT